ACTTTTTAGGCAAGAAAACTGAGTTCAGATGTTATAAGCAACGAGTCTAAGACAAGACTGCCAAAAAGTGTCAGAGCTGGGGTGCAAACCAAGGGCGAACGCACCCCTAAACCTTATTTCTGCTTGTACTATTCTAACCCCACCCCCTGCCAAATGTGGCATGAGAAAATGTTCTGTGTACCAACACTCAGGATAAAGTGGAGAGTTGGCAAAAAAGGGGATGTCCTCAATAAGGTGGCACAGTGGCAGCAGCAATGGGCTCAAAGGTCACAACAGTTGGGAGGATGGTGCAGAACCAGGCAGTGTTTCATTCTGTTGGGTGTAGGGTTGCTATGAGTTGGAAAAAACTCAATGGCATTTAGCATATTACCCAACCATGCATTACAGTAAAAATTAACTGAAAACGTAACTGGAATTAATTGCATGAATAATGAAATGCATTTAACAATATGATACAAAGATTTTTATTTTTTTCCTGAAGGCATATTTTTTTGTTAGGTTCAATGGCTAAATGGATTTTAAGAGCCATTTAACTGTGAATATGCATTTTATTTTATCACATGGAATTTAAAAGTCTAGTCTGCAATGCTCTGTAGTTCTTGAGATCAGGGACTAGACACTACTTTTCTCTGTGTCCTGAACACCCAGCAGTGTGGTGGTATGGGTAGTAACATAGGCTCTTAGCAGACCTGGGAGGAAATTCTTCCTTGGCAGCTTGCCAGGAAATAATCTATGCTAATTAGCCTCACTGAATATAAAGAAAATGTTAGCTCAGGTACCTTCTACATAAGGTGTTATGAAGATAAAGTGTGAAGCTCACAGTACATCACTGGAGACAGGGCTTCTAGGGAAGGAGAGGGAAATTTACTGGAGACAGGGCTTCTAGGGAAGGAGGGGGAAATTCACTGGAGACAGGGTTTCTACGGAAGGAGGGGGAAATTAAATGAGTTTGCTGCAATCTGCAGTCAGGGCCTTGCCCAGGGTGAATGCACTAAAACTTTATTAGAAGGACTTTTAAATTGCTTAATAGTTAAATAATATCATTGTTGTTGTTGTTAAGTGCCCTCGAGTCAGTTCTGACCCACAGCGACCCTGTATAGGGTTTCCAAGGAGCACCTGGTAAGCTTGAACCACTGACCTTGCAGTTCAAACAGCTTTGCAGTCTGGCGCATTAACCCACAGTGCCACACCAGGAATAGGGCACTAAAATATGTCATCTATAAGCCACATTTTTCCCACGATGACAATTGTACATTAGTACCATGCTTTAATCTCAGAAGGGGCTCAAAAAGCATTGGGTGAATTAGAATGGAAGAGACATAGGAAAAAGTTAAGTACAGCATCAACTTTTTTATGCAAGTTCTAACCTTAGGAATGAAACTATTGTAAACTGGGAGGCATCGTTAGAAGAGATGCAATCAAGGGGAATTAGCCTTGCTCTGGAATCCTCCTACAGAGAGAAAGAAAATGTCTCAACCCACAAGAGAACATTCTGTAATAAGACGTTTGTCAGACTAAGACTTTTGTTGTAACTGTCACGTGTGAAGCGAGATTCATCATGTTACAGAGGTAAGTGTTTATTGAAAACCACCAACAGTGGTACAGGAGAAAGCACTGTGCAGGGCTGCTACAATCCAGGGGGGCAGGAGAAAGGGTCTGACTCCCAGGTCTCTGCCTTCTTCAGGGGCACAGCTTCCCCACTGGTATACCTGTGGGGGAAGAGATTGGATGGAAAAAAATACACAAAAACCATCCTATTGCCGTTTAGTCAATTCTAACAAATGACAACCCTATGTGTTACAGAGTAGAACTTCTCCATGGTTTCTTTCAGCTATAAACACTGCCAAGTAGGTTCAAACCACTAATATTTGGGTTAATAGTTGAATGCAAACTGTTTGTGCCATCCAGGGGTTGCATACTGTTGTTGTTATTAGGTGCCATCGAGTCGGTAGCGACCCATAGCGACCTTATGCACAGCAGAATGAAACACTGCCTGGTCCTGGGCCAACCTCACTACTGTTGCCACGTTTGAGTCCATCGATGCTGCCACTTGGCCAATAGATGACCTTAAAAGTCCCCTTCAGTTTTGGCGGTACGGCAGAATGTGCATGTGTGATCATCTTTGGAGATTAGATCATCTGAGCAAGGTTCATAACTTGGGACCTACTGCAGGGCCAACAGTAGAACTCCAGTGGTTCTAAAAATATCTAAAAAAAATTGGGGGGGGGGGGCTATAGGCTGAGAGTCTGTAAAGCTATGATCCCAAAAATGATTAAAAGATGGTTGTTGTTCAGTCTGAATAAAGGTTCTGCAGAAGAATCCTGATCAAAAGGGAGGAAATGCAGGACAAAATTTCAAATGCTCATGGAATCCCGACTTTCTGGAGTCATGAAAGCTGAATGAACCCCTGAAACTATTGCCCTGAGATAATCTTTAAAACTTAAACCAAAATGACAGGTGAGCTATTCTTAAAACCAAAAACTAGTTTAGTTCAACTCATAAAGAATGTCTGCCTTGAGCATTGTGTTCATTCAAGATTTACCTACATGAGGTCAAATTGACAACAGCAACCTGAAGACCACCAGTGACTCTGCAGGAGAAAGATGAGACTTCCATAAAGGTTTACAGCCTCAGAAACCCTTTACAGTGTGGCTATGTGTTGGAACTATTTACATGATTGGGGGGAAAAGTCTCAAAGACTCAAAGGAAGGTGATCTGGGGCCTCAGAAATCACCCTTCTCTCTCTCCACTTCCAGTTGGCAATTTTTACTTATTGTGTAACTGCCCTTTTGGAAACCAGGTAACAAAACTTCCAGAAGAAAAGCTATTGATTATTAAAGGTGATTTGGAAGTTTAGAGACTCATAATAAAGTGGTTATAATTATCCCTGTTATGACATATCTTTTTAAATGCTGGGATCTGAGAACATTCTGCTTGTCTTGACTCAGTCATCTTCATCACAGGGAGAAAGGCAAAGAGCTGGAAATAGCTTCTGTGTGCAGCTACAGGCAAGGAGTCACAAGGAAGGGAACAAATTGAAAGCAAGTCAGTGAAAAAGCTGAGGAGGAGCGGAGGGCACCTGTTCCCTTCCCTAGCCCCTTTGCCCCTCTTCAAATCTTGCTACACAAGTTAGTTACACATCAGCTACCATCAGTCCTTCTCTGGTTAAATGTGCATCATCTATGAAAACTGCTCCAATAAACCAAACCAACCAAATCATCTGATTGATCCAGACTAATAGCGACCTTTGTTGTTGTGTACCATTGAGTTGGTTCTGATTCATAGAGAGCCTGTAAAGTAGGGTTTCTGAGGAGCAGCTGGTGAATTTGAACCGATGACCTCATGGTTAGTTGTCCAGTGTTTATCCTACAGTGCCACACTAGGATGCCATAGTGACCCTATTGAACCTTCCCCCAAGGGAAAAACCACCCACTGCCTTTGAATCAATTCTGAATCATAGCTGACCCTATATAGGTTTTCAAGACTGCAAATATTTATAGGAGCCAACAGCCTTATCTTTCTCCCACAGAGTGGCTGGTGCATTTGAACTGCTGATTTTTAGTTATCATCAAACCAATGCCTAACCCACAGTGCCACCAGAGTTCCTTGACCCTATAGAAAGTCAATAAAAATGGAATTCAGGAAATGGATTCATTTGCTTCTGGTTTTCATAACAATAATTAGCATTTATTGAGCATTTACTCTGTGTCAGACATTGCTTTAAGTGCTCTCCATATATGGCTTCATTTAATCCTCACAAAACTTTTGAGCTAAGTATAATTATTATTTCTACTCAATAGACAAGAAAACGAAAGTAAAAATGGGACACAGTTATCCTGGTGTGGTACTGTAGGATAAACACTGGGTGGCAAGTTTGGTTTGAACCACAAGGTTGGTGGTTCAAGCTCACCAGCTGCTGCTCAGAAACCCTATACAAGTTCTCTATGTGTCGGAACCGACTCGACGGCACTTAACAACAGCAACAACATACACAGTATGAGAGGACAGTATGGTTCCGTGGTAGAGCCTTGCCTTCCACGTGGGAGGCCCAGGTTTGATTCCTCAAGCACAGTCATTGCCTGTCTGTCAGAGGAAGTGACAGGTACCATGACAGGTTTCAGTGGCGCTTCTATACAAAGACACACTAGGAAGAAAGTCCTGGTAATAGCTCCTGTGTGCAGCAACAGGTAAAGAGTCACAAGGAAAGGAACAAATTGAAAGCAAGTCAATGAAAAAAGCAGGGGGAGGAGCCAAGGGCAGTTGAAATCAGCCAATGGATCACAATGATTAGATCCTTTTGTATGTACATGGGGGTCACCCTTAGTCTGGGACAGACTTGATAGAAGCTAACAACAACTTACATAGTATGTGACAGACTTCAAATTTAGTCAGGGTAACTTTAGAGCTCCCAGCATGCTGCTCCTTGTTAAGGTCCCAGGGTTGGGAGAATAGCCCAGCAAGATGAGGAATAAGGAGGACTGAAAGAGGTTGAAGGGCTATTTTTTTGTTTGTTTGTTTTCTTTTATGGTTCACAGGAAACTTCTGTCTCCTCCTGTGACCTATTACTGCACGTTGTTTCTGTTCTTTCAACAAACCTGACACAGCTAGTTTCTTGGGTGATTCAAAGAAGAAACAGATAGGATGCCTATACTTGAGAAATACATACTTGAGGGGTGAGGAGAAGGAGAAAAATATACCCAGTGAACCCAATGATATCAGGCAGAGTGTATTCTAATAAAGGTACACTATGCTTGGAGAGAGAGAACAAGTCCTACTTGGGGAGTGACTGGAAGGGCTCAAAGGGTAGGGTGGGGGTGACAATTCAGGTAGACCCACAGGGAAGGGATTGGTTCAGGAGTTGAGTAGGTGGGTAGATGTCTACAGAGGGACAGCAAGCACAGACATTTCTCTCCAGCGATTGTGGGTTCACAGGAGGCTTAGAATGACTGCCAACTGCTTTGTTTTCCCCACTGCAGGTTCTGTCTGCACTCCACTCCAAGATGGCACCTATGCTGTTGCTGCTTTCCACCCTGGCTGGCTTCTTCGTGGGTACAGCAAAGGGACAGGCATTTCATCCTGGAAAATGCCTGAATCCTCCCGTGCAGGAAAATTTTGATGTCAATAAGGTGTAGTAAAAGGCTCAAGTTTCCTGTTTTGATGTTGGAATAAGCCCCTACAAAGTTCAGTTTTACCTTTCTGCTTTCCTCAGCACAGCAAGCCTGTGGTACAGACATTTATTGCTGTTGTTGTTGTTAAGTGCCATAAAGTCAGTTACAACTCATAGTGACCCTGTCTAGTGTTTCTGAGGAGCAGCTGGTGGCAGGCAACTCCAAAGCAGATTCTGAGTCAATGACTGGAGGCTGATGGTTTGGGGAAGATGATCCCATTAAGCATGAGTGAGCCTGTGTGGATAGTGAGACAGGGGAGGCAGAAAAGCAGTAAAGGGTGTATTCATCATTGGTTTGGGTTACCCAGTGAACAATGGGACTCAATCCTGCTGTAGTCTTCCAAGGAAACATGTAGAAAGCCCCTCAGATTGTCCCACTGACAGATGGCTTTACATTGACATGGCATTGGCAAAGCTTTTGGTCAAAGAAGGAGATACCAGGAGTCGAGATGGGAAGCTGTGGTGTGTGAGGGAAATGTCCACCGTGCCTGAGGTAAACTTAGAGGAGCTACAGGATGAGGCGTCAACAGCAGTTGTCACCATGCTATTGTTCTGATTCTAAAGTTGAAAAATTTGAAATGTCAGAGATCTTGTAATCTATACAAGTCACACAGCTAGTATATACAGTGGAAAACAACACTAGGCTTCCCACAATGCCAGCTGCACAAGGGTTACTCTAACAGGACCTAGGGGAAGTCAAAACTCTTCAAGGTGCTTTGTTACCTGCAATAAAAAAGTTTCAGTATAACTTGTTGTTGTTGTTGTTGTTAAGTTCCGCGGAGTCGATTCTGGCTATTAGTGACCTTGCACAGGGTTTCCAAGGATGTAAATCTTTACACAAGCAGAATGTCTCATCTTTCTCCTGCGGAACCGCTGGTAGTTTCGAACTGCTGACCTTCAGGTTGGCAGCCCGACTCGTAACCACTACGCTACCAGAGCTAGTTCCCCCATATATGTTCTTTCCTCCTGGCAGTCAGGCCCAACCTTCCTATGGGCACTCGTATGTGAGAAAGGGCAGCAAGAGTCAGCTTTGGCAGGATGTGACTCAAAGGTTCCCACTGCTGCTAATTCATGTCTGGACTCTTGGTCTTTACAATCTCCTCTCCTAAGAAGAAGGTTTATATCTCTCTTTAGGAGCAATAATTCTTGGTAAGACTAGCATGGAATTGCTAATAGCTACTCATACCTCAATGTGAATGAGTGTTGAGACTTCCCAGGAGTTGGGGCTAGGTAGAGTTGTGAGGAACAAAGACTTGAAGTCTGAGAAAGGTGGGAAGGAGTAGAGTACCATCAATAAGGCTGAGAGCTCACACAGGTGACATATAGTACGCTGAAGTCTACATCAACTTACCACTATGTTTTTTTAAGAATTGACCTCTTTATTCAAATAACCCTGGTGGCCCTTAGGAATCTTTTCAGAAAATATACAGGAATTTGACTTAACATTTTATTTTTTAGGTAACAATCCCAAGACACTGGAAATTATAATTGAGCTGCATTTATAAATGCTCTATGAGAATTAAAGCAGGATTAAAAAAAATAATAACAACTCAAGTAAGATATAATTCACATGCTGTACACTTCACCCATTTAAATGCCCAATTTAGTAGCTTTCAGTATATTCATGGAGTACTGGTTTGGCACTGTGGGTTAATGCGCCAGACTGCAAAGTTGTTTGTACTGCAAGGTCAGCAGTTCAAACTCACCAGCTACTCCTCAGAAACCCTATACAGGGTCACTATGGGTCGGAACTGACCCGACAGCACTTAACAACAACAATAACAAGTATATTCACAGAATGATGTAACCATCACAATCCAATTTAGGACATCTCATCTGTTCAAAAAGAAGCCCCATGCCTAGTAACAGGCTCCCTTATTTCCACCAGCCCTCTCAGCCCTAGGAAACCAGTCTATTTTTAATCTGTATAAATGTGCCTATTCTGGGCATTTCCTAGAAATGGAATCTACAATATGTGTTTAAAAAAAAAGACTTCTTTCACTTAGCATGTTTTTATGATTCATCCATGTTGTAGCATATATCAACACTTTGACCCTTCTCATGGTCAAATAGGAGTCCTGGTGTGGCACTGTAGGTTAATGAGCCAGACTGCAAAGCTGTTTGAACCGCAAGGTCAGCGGTTCAAGCTCACCAGTTGTTCCTTGGAAACCCTATACAGAACCGGAATCGACTTGACGGCACTTAACACAACAACAACAACAACATGGTCAAATAATATTCTATTGTAGGGATAATATCACATTGTATCCACTCATCATTTGGGTTAGTTCCATTTTTTGCATGTTGTTTCTATGGGCATATGCTTTCAGTTCCCTTGGTTATATGTCTGTTACTGTTATAATGACACATGGTGAACCAATGTGTTTCAAAACAGAACTGAGCTCCACAGGATTTTCTTGGCTGTAATCTCTAGGGAAAGGAGCCCAGAAGGTCAGCAGGTTAAACTCACCAGTCACTTCTTGAGAGCAAACACCTAATGATCTGTTCCCATAAAGACTGAAGTCTAGAAAACACTATGGGGCAGTCTACTCTATCCTATAGGGTCACTGTGAGTCAGAATTAACTTGACAGCACAAAAAAATAACAATCTTTATGGAAGTAGATTCCCAGGTCTTTCTTCCACACTGCTGCTGGGGAGGTTTAAACAACCAAGTGTTAAAGAGCAAAGATGTCACTTTTAGGACTAAGGTGTGTCTGACCGAAGCCATGGTATTTTCAATAACAAAAAGCTGAACAGTGAATAAGGAAGACCGTAGAAGAATTGATGCTTTTGAGTTATGGTGTTGGAGGAGAATATTGAAAGTGCCGTGGGCTGCCAAAAGAACCAATAGATCTGTGTTGGAAAAAGTGCAGCCAGAGTGCTGCTTGGAGACCAGGATGGCCAAACTTTGTCTCTCATACTTCGGATATATTGTCAGGAGGGACCAGTCGCTGGAGAAGGAGATCATGTTTGGTAAGGTGGAGGGTCAGAGAAAAAGAGGAAGATCCCCTGCGAGATGGATTGGCAAAGCAACAGCATCAATGGGCTCAAGCGTAGCAACAATTGTGAGGTTGGCCCAGTGACCGAGCATTGGGTCACTATGAGTCGGTACCAACTTGATGGCACCAAACAACAACAACACATGCATATTAAAGTGGGACAGTGAATAAGTTAGACGGTAGAAGAATTGATGCATTTGAGTTATGGTGTTGGAGGAGAATATTAAAAGTACCCTGAACTGCCAACAGATCAAACCAATCTGTGTTGGAAGAAGTACAGCCAGAATATTCCATAGAAGCCAGGAAGACCAGATTTCATCTCTCATACTTTGGACATATCAGGAGGGACCAATCCCTAGAGAAGGATATCATGTTTGGTAAAATGGAGGGTCAGAGAAAAATAGGAAGAACCCCCTGCCCCCAATGGATTATCATAGTGGCAACAGCAAAGGCTTAGCATCGATTGTGAGGTTGGCACAGGACCAGGCAGTGTTTTGTTCTGTTGTGCATGGGCTCACTACAAGTCAGTACCAACTCAATGGCACCTAACAACAACAATGTATTAGGAGTGAAATTTCTAGCTCCTATGGAAACGCCACCTTTAATACTTTAAACACGGTTAGAGTGTTTTCCAAAACAGCTGCACCATTTTACACCTCCCTCAGCAATATATAAAGGTTCCCACTTCTCCACATCTTGTTGAAAATCAGTTTGCTATAAATGTGGGTTTATTTCTTTCCTCTCAGTTGTATTCCATCGATCTCTATGCCTATCCTCAAGCCTGAAGCACACAGTCCTATTACTGTATTTTTTGTATATAACACACCCATGTATAAAGCATACAAAAACATTGCATAGGTTTTGTAGTTTTCAAAGTTTTGCACTTTTCAAAATGAAATTTATCCCTAAAAATTGTAATATTTTGATGCTATTGTAAATGCAACTGGGTTTTTAAATTTAATTCTCAGATTGTTCAAGTGTATATGTGTATAATTGAATTTTTATTTTTTTGCCCTTTGAGGTCCCTAGATGGCACAAATAGTTCCTGCTCAACTGCTGATCTGAGATTGGCAGTTTGAACCCACCGGATAGTCCCATAGAAGAAAGACCTAGCTTTCTGCTTCCATAAACACTTCAAACAAGAAAACCCTAAAAAGTCATTCTACTTGGTGCCATCTGGATTTGCTGAGTTGGATTTTACTTGAAAGCAAATTTTCTTTTCAAATCCTTTAATCTAGGTGATCTCATTTATTACTTCTAATAATTTTTTAGTGAATTCTTTAGGGTTTTTTTATATACAAATCATACCCTCTTACAAATGAGATAGTTTTACTTCTTCTTTTCCACAACTCTTTTTAAGCAGTGCATTCTCTATAAACAGATAAACTGAAATATTGATAGTTGTTGTTGTTAAGTACCATTGACAGGACTCTGAAATATTAATAGACCTTAATAAAAACAATAAAAGATTATGAGGGAGCATGACAAAAAAACTAATCTTCTATATCTGAATTTCCTCTTTTCTGGGAAAAGCATGTTTCCTTCATTTTAATTGTGGAGCACTAAACTCTGACATTTATAGAGCTATTTTAAGTATACTGTACAAAATGCAGATTTATCACTTTTATTTTTTGAGGATACCTTTTAAACCATTGAATTTTAACCCTATTCTTTGGGGTTTTAAATGAATGTTAAAGTCGGTAAATTTAATTTGAATCGTACTTTGATAATAACAAGTGAGTGGAAAGTTTATGGTCCTAAGCATGGGAGTGAGTATATTTAAGCAAATGATCCCTGGGGACACAATGGTAAATGCTTGACTACCAATGAAAGTCTGGGGGTTTGAATCTACCAGCAGAAAAAGATCTGGCTATTGGCTCCAATAAAGACTGTTGTTGTTAAGTGCTGTTGCATTGGTTCAGACTCATAATGACCCTGAATAGGGTTTCCAAGGAATAGCTGGTGGATTCGAACCATGAACCTTGCAGTTCAAACCAACATTGCAGTGCAGTGTTTATCATAAATACAGCACCACACCAGGAGTTCTCCCACAAACTATACAGCCTAAGAAACCCTATGGGGCAGTTTTACTCTGTCCTATGTCACACTCTGTCTGCTACTAACTAGAATCAAATCCAGGACACTCAACAAACATATCTGAACCAGGAGTCATGTAACCAAGGGAAAACTGCCACTTGTTTGCCAAATACTTCCTTAAGGTTCTGATGATTTGAAGATGGGTACATCTCTTTTATTTTGTTTTGTTGAGTAAATTTCAATTAAATTTTAACTAGGCAAAAATATTCATATACTTCAAAATTCTAGTCACAAAAGTTTCCATCCCATTCTTGTGCTCTGGTTTCCACTTTCTCTCTTGATGACAATCAGTAAAAACAATTTATTATAAGAATATTTAGTTCCCTACTAATGTTCGTGTAGGCTGTTTCCACTCTTTTACTAACTAAGACTGTAATGAATAACCATATGCACACAACATTTCCTGGATCAGGAAGATGTATTCCCAGAAGTGAAATTACTAAGCCAAATTACTCTCCACAGAAGCTGTAAATTAGTGTAGTCTCTAGGCAAGGTGGAGTCCTGGTATGGTGCTGTAGGATAAGCACTGGACTGCTAACTACAAGGTCAATGGTTCAAACCCACCAGCCGCTCCTTGGAAACCCTATACAGGATCCACATCGAGTGAGTCAGAACTGACTCTATGACACTTAACAGCAACTAGGCAAGGCAATTTTCAGAAGTATGAGAAGGCCTGTTTCCTTCCCCTTTACCTCCACAGATGCATACATATTTTAAAGTTGACTATGTACACCTGAAGTTATGAACGGAGAGCAAGTATTCTGTGGAAGAATGATACAGATGTTCTAAATCCTAATCCCCTGAAAAGCTTTTGTTACTAAATCCCTGTGAAAGGTCATTTGAGAAGAGTTCAACTATCCCTGGAGTCCTAGCTCCCCACAGTGAAAATAATCTGACTGTGCACAAAATTCAAAGATCCCTTGTAGAATTAAAAGTGTTTAAGGTAGAAGGCCCCTTAGATCAGCCAGACCAATCCCCTCTAAATTTCAAAGAATTTAGAGTTTATCATAGATTTTGGCTGACGATAAGAGGACACTGAGAATACATCTAAATAAAGAGCGCTTTATATAACAGAAGGTGGCATTCAACGAATGCTCACACATTCAACTCACTTTATTCCCATTTGAATCAATATCTTGCTGTGGTTGCCACTGGAAACAATGCAGCCCATTTTGCCTGCTTCCCCCAGGAAACAGCTCTGCTTCTGAAAGACAACAATGGGGAAGAGTTACAGGTCCCCAGAGAGCCATAGGGTTTTGCTCTGCTTTTTGTTGTCTCTGCAGTATCTTGGAAAATGGTACGAAATTGAGAAGATCCCAGTGAGCTTTGAGAAGGGAAGCTGCATCCAAGCCAACTATTCACTAATGGAAAACGGAAACATCAAAGTGATAAACCAGGAGATGGGGTGAGTGGCTGTGGTCTTAAAGACCACATTCCTGACCTGGCCAGCAGAGTGCTGTCCTGGAGCGACTTTGTGTCCTTGCAGATGAGTTCAGGGAACATGTGCAGGGTGTTGGGGCTGGGTGGCTTGCTCCCTGCAGGTCCTAAAATGAAAGCACTCAGGCACAGGGACAGGCAATGGGTTAATTCTATAACCATTGGTTGAGCACCTGTTGTTTACTAAGCCCTGTGTGAAACTTTAGGGAATCAACTGTAAAATAACTGGCCAGTATTCCTGTTCTCATTGCAAAGAGCAAAGAGGACATGAGGGATCATTTTGTCTGAGCTCCAAACAAGAGCAAAAGCCTCTCTATAAAAATCTACTGGCAGAAGGACATTCAGCCTTGAACACTTCCAAGAGTTGAGAGCTCACTGACTTCCATGACAGCTTATTACATTTCTGAATGGCTTTAACTATTAAAAAGCCTTCCTTAAACAAGCAAGAGTCCAATACATACAGTTACACTCTATGATATGTGAACAGACTATTCTATAGGAGTGTATGTTTCTGAAGTACATTACTGAAAATGTCTAACAGATTGATATTTGATCCAAAGAGTCAAACTTTGGAAAGAAAACATAAATTTAAAAAGAGCCCCAACTAAGAATTCTCACACACACCCACAATCAACAAAGATAACAGTAACGAATATTTATTAAGCATTTCCAATGTTCAAGGCACAATTCTTTGCAAATGCATATATGTTTATACATACACTTGGCCCTTGAATAGTGTGAGGTCAGGGGTGCCAATCCCCCATGAAATAAAAAATTATGTAGAACTTTTGACTCCCCAGTAACTTAACTACTAATAGTGTACTGTGGACCGGAAGCCTTACAAATAACATAATCAGTCTACTAACACATATTTTTTTTCATGTTTTATTGTGAATTATATGATATTTTACATGAGAGAACTTTAGTTTTACATTCATTCTACCGTATATTGTTTTACTGCCATGGTTCCAATCCCCTCCATGCATCATCAACTGACAAAAGGGTATACCCTATAAACCCGCCCCCTACGCTCCCTGCCTCGCATCGCTGCACTCCCTTCCTTGCTACAAAACATCTACCTTTACATTTCCAACCCTCACAATCAGTCCTGATAACAATCATTCACTATTGTATCACAAGTGACCCTTCTGTGTTTCATTTCATCAGCTCCGCCTAGACAGATTGGATAGTACTCACTGGAGGTTCTGCCTTCCTCCATGCCCCCTAGCTCTAGGTTCCCTCTTGAAAACTTGTAAGCCAGTCACTTCTTGCCTTTGTAGTCTCCCCACCCCCACCCCATTTGAGTATCCAATGTCCAAGTTGCCCATCTCTGTCTACTCTGTGTATGGAGTGGGTGGAATGTTTCTTGCTGTAAGGATTTGTTCCCTATTTTGGGTTACTGCATCCATAGGTGTAGGTCAAGTTCATCAAATTGTATCAGATCACTCTCTTTTTTTTCCCTCTTCTTTCTTCTCCTGGTTGAGTTCTGATCATCCATTCATTGGGGCCAGGTCACGCTAACACATATTTTTGATATTACATTATAAATTGTACTCTTACAATAAAATAAGCTAGAGAAAAGAAAATGTTATTAAGAAAACCATAAGGAAGAGAAATACATTTACAGTACTGTATGTATCAACAGCATAAGTTTACATCATCTGTTTATAAGATGAATCATCTTCTTATTGAATAGGCTGAGGAAGAAGTGGAAGAAGAGCAGTTGGTTTTGGGCCTCAGGGTTGACAGAGGAGAGGCAGGCATACTCAGTATAACTTTACAGAACTGCATGGCAATTTCGGTTGGACCTTTTTGTGTTTTCATTTCTATAAAAATGTTCGTATATGGTACCATTATTTCTTCCACCATTTGCTTTAGTTCTAATGCCAATATCACAGAAGGGTCCACAATATAAAAGAAGTCAAAAGCAGTCTTGAGTCATCAGAACCCTTCTGCCAGATTGTCTGAAGTCAATTTGGTTTCTGGCACTGCTGCTTATACATCTTCTTCATGGTCATAACTCTGGGTCTGAAGCACTCACCTCCATCAAGGAGTCTTCTGCTAATCCCTTGGGTGTGGTGTCTATTACTTCTTGAAGTCCTCCAAGATCCATTTCTTAAAACTCTTCCCCTGACCCCATCTGCATTATTTTGCCATATCCAAGTCTCTTTCCCACCACTCATCTGTCAATTTATTGTACTATGGTGGCTTGTGTGTTGCTGTGATTCTGGAAGCTATGCCATGGGTATTTTAAATACCAGCAGGGTCACCCATGGTGGACAGGTTTAAGATGAGCTTCCAGACAAAGACAGACTAGGAAGAAGGAGAGATGAACTACTTCCGAATATTTAGTCACTGAAATCCTTATAAATAGCAGAGAAACACTATCAGATATAGTGCTGGAAAATGAGTCCCTCAGGTTGGAAGGCACTCAAAATGTGACTGAGAAAGAGCTGCCACCTCAAAGTAGAGTTGACTGTGATGACTTGAATGGAGTAAAGCCTGTGGGAGTAAAGTCGTTGGAACCTTCATTTGTTGATGGGACACAACTCAAAATGAAGAGAAAAAGCTGTAAACATCCATTAATAATCAGAACATGGAAAGTACGAAGTATTTATCTAGGAAAATAGGAAATTGTCAAAAATGAAATGGAATGCCTAAACATTGATATCTTAGGCATTAGTGAGATGAAATGGATTGGTATTGGCCATTTTGAATCTGACAACCACATGGTTTACTATGCCGGGAATGACAAATTGAAGAGGAATGGTGTTGCATTCATCGTCAAAAACTAATCAAGATGAGTCATGAGGTACAATGCTGTCTGTGACAGGATAATATCTGTGCACCTATATGGAAGACCAGTTAATACCACTATTATTCAAATTTACGCACCAAACACTAAAGCCAGTGAGGATGAAATAGAAGACTTCTACCAATTTCTTCAAGCTGAAATTGATCAAACATGCAATCAAGACGTATTGATCATTACTGGTGATTGGAATGCATAGGTTGGGAGCAAAGAGGAAGGATCAGTGGTTGGAAAATATGGCCTTGGTGATAGAAATGATGCTGGAGATCGCATGATAGAATTCTTCAAAATCAAAGATTCGTTCATTTCATATATCTTCTTTAGATAGCATAAGAGATGATTATACTCATGGATTCACCAGATGAAATACATAGAAATCAAACTGACTACATCTGCAGAAAGAGATGATGAAAAAGCTCCATATCATCAGTCAAAAAAAGGCCAGGAGCAGATTGTGGAATAGACCATTAATTGCTCATATGCAAATTCAAACTGAAGCTGAAGAAAATGAAAACAAATCCACGAGATCCAAAACATGACCTTGAATATATCCCACCTGAATTGGGAGATTATCTGAAGAACAGATTTGATACAATAAAACACTAAAGTATGAAGACCAGAAGAGTTGTGGGATAATGTCAAGAACATCATACAGGAAGAAAACAAAAGGACATTAAGAAGCCAAGAAAGAAGGAGAAGATCAAAACAGATGTCAAAAAAGACATTGAAACTTGCTCTCCAGTGTAGAGATGCTAAAGCAAATGGAAGAAATGAGGAGATACAAGAGCTGACCAGAAATTTTCAAAGGTCAGCTGGGGAAGACAAAGTCAAATATTACAACAAAGTCAAATATGCAAAGATCTGGAATGAGAAAACCAAAAAGGAAGAACATGTTTAGCATTTCTCAACCTGGGGGAACTGAAGAAAAAATTCAAGCCTTGACTTTCGTTACTGAAGGATTCTCTGGGCAAATTATTTAATGATGCAGAAAGCATCAAAAGAAGATGGAAGGAATACACAAAATCACTGTACCAAAAAGAAATGGTTGATGTTTAACCATTTCAAGAGGTAGCATATGATCTAGAGCCAACGATACTGAAGGAAGAAGTCCAAGGTGCATTGAAGGAATTGGCAAAGAACAAGGCACCAGGAATGGAATAAAAAATGGAATAAAAATAGAAATATTTCAAGAAAGTGAGGCAGCATAGGAGACACTCACTCATCTGTGCCAAGAAATTTGGAAGGCAACTATCTGCCTGACTGATTGGAAGAGATCCATATTTGTGCCCATTCTGAAGACAAGTGACCCAAGAGAATGCGGAAATCATCGGACAGTATCTTGGATATCCCATGTGAGAAATTTTTACTAAAGGTAATACAGAAACAGCTGCAAGCATACAATGACAGAGAACTTCCAGAGGTTCAAGCCAGATTCAGAAGAGGCTGTGGAACGAGGGATATCATTGCTGATGTCTGATGGATCCTGCCTGTAAGCAAATACCAGAAAGATGTTTACCTGTGCTTTATTGACTGTGCAAAGGCTTTTGATTATGTGAATCATGACAAGCTATGGACAACATTGAGAAGTATGAGTATTTCAAAACACTTAATTATGCTCATGAGGAATCTGTATATGGACATTGAACAGAACACGGGAACACTGAATGGTTTGAAATTAAGATAGGTGTGCTACAGGGTTGTATGCTGAGCAAATAATCTGAGAAGCTAGATTATGTGAAGAAAAACATGGCATCAAGATTGGCGGAAACTCATTAACAACCTGCAAATGCAGATGATATAACCTTGCTTACTAAAAGTGAAAAGGACTTAAAATACTTACTGATGAAGATCAAAGAGCACAGCCTTCGATATGGATTGCATCTCAATGTTAAGAAAACAAAAATCCTCACCACTGGACCAATAAACAACAGTTTTATCAACGGAGAAAAGATTGAAGTTGACTTCATTCTTCTTGGATCAATCATCAACACTCATGGAAGCAGCAGTCAAGAAATCAGATGACATATTGCATTAGGCAAATCTGCTGTACAAGAACTTTTTAAAGTGTTGAAGAGCAAAGATATCAGCTTAAGGACTAAGGTGTACCTGACCCAAGCCATGACATTTTCAATAACTTCACATGCATGCAAAAGCTG